GTGGCATTACAGCTCACAGCAACCTCCAACTCCTGGGCTCAAGCGAGTCTCCTGCCTCCGCCTCTCAAGTAGCTGGGACTACAGGCACCCGCCACAACGCCCGGCTATTTTTTGGTTGCAGCCATCATTGTTGTTTGGCGGGTCCGGGCTGGAGATTCGAACTCGCCACCTTAGGTTTACGTGGCTGGCGCCTTAGCCGGTTGAGCTATAGGCGCCGAGCCAAATGTTAGAGTCTTGAACCAGGTAGAAGTTTCTTGGTGAGATACTACATGCATCTGTTCTAGGTTTGGGGTTTGAGTGGGATGGGATCTGAAGAAGGACCTTGCTGCTACAACTGTGGGGTATGTCTTTCCTGTCAGGCCACCAGAGGCCCAGGAGGAAGGTGGCTGGTTCAGCCCAGGTCCCTCAGGTCCATAACTCTGCTGGTCACCCCTCTATATCCCTGAAAGGCCTGATGCTATCCCATCCTGGGGAAAGAGTACCCACTCTCCCTGGGTCCACTCCACTTATATACACTCAGGGAAGCAGGTCAGAGGGAAGAGAAGGTGAATTAAGAGATTGCTGGGGTAGCCATATCATGTGTCACTTGGGTGGTCTGAAGGACACACAGGTAGGTAGCTCCAGCCCCCAAGAAGTCCCATGGTGGGTAAAGTTGAGTGGGCATGTGTGCAGGGGCTCACCGTCTGCATGCAGCTGGTGGTGCAGGAGCCCCGCTGTGGACCCTGCTCCAACACGTTGGGAGCCCCAGGCTGCAGACCGGAGATGAGATGGGGAGACATACCCTTGGTGGCCTTCTAAGATCCCACCCTAAGTTCCACCACCACAATCCTCAGTCCCCTCAGGCTGAAAGAGAAGCTGGTTTGTCCTGTGGTCTGGGGGAAGGGGAGCTGCAGGCCTGACTTGCAGATCTCTGGGTGAAACTAGGACCTAGAAGGTATGTCTTTCCACAGGCTCACAGTGGGGTTCCTGGGGGACCCTCTCAGATATAGCTTGCTAGCCCTGCTGCTGGCCAGTGACACCTCCCATTCTCCACAAAGAGCTTACCGGGGGCCTGTTCACCAGCCAGAAAGTCTGTTCCTGGCAGGCAATGACCAGCCTGTCCCCTTTCCTGCGCTGCTTAGCTGCCCTGGGAGGAGTAAGCAGAGTTGGGGGCATGTGAACCCACTCCTGATCAATCAGTGCCGTCTAGGTCCCTCGACTTCCCCAGCAGGCTGGGCTAGTGCCTGGGCAGGCAGCAGGTCTCACCGCAGCTGCTCCCTAGCCTGCATCACCACCAAGTCCCACACATGGTTGATCTTCTTGTGTAGCTGGTGATAGTGCTCCTGGAAACAGCAGGGCCTGCAGTGGGTAACTGGCTCCCATGCCCTGCTCTGGGTGTGGAACCCACCACCCCAGGGAGACTGTGGAGGGAGTGGGGGGTATTATCTTGGGCCCTGGGCTATATGTTCTGAGGCAAACCCTGGGGCTTAGGCTCCTCTGGTTGGATGTACCTTCTCATGGTCGACCAGGGCGCCCTGTTTCCGGATATTCTTCTTGGTCAGGTAGATGGCTAGAAAGGATGGGGCAGACTGCAGAGAGCAGCTCTTCTCCTACCCTGTGGCATTATCCTTGGGTCCACTAGTCCTGGAAGCTTGTCCTTGAGCTAGCCCATTCCCCCCCTCACTCACCATAGTCCAACTCGGAGGCTGGCCACAGGACACTTGTCCAGAAGTATGGTGTCTGGTGTAGTGCAGGGAGAAGGGTGTCTGGAACCTTCAGGGCCTTTCCCTCACCCTTAGTGTCATCCCACCCAACAGCTTCCCTGGAAGGAGACTGAGCTGCACAGGGGTCTCTGAGGACCTCCCTGTCTGCCTACCACCCAGAGGCACTGCTGATTATTGGCTATCCTGTCCACCTGAGACAAAAGTCAACCTTCCCCTTGGAGCCCTGTGCAAGGGCCACCTCCCCCACACTGGTGGCCCTGACCCTCCCTTTAGGGTGGGATGGGGGCAATCAAGGTCTGTGCTTGAGGTGGGGAGACAGACCCAAGAGCAGGCTGGGTCTAGGTCTATGATGTAGCCAGAGAGGTCTCCACTATGCTTGAGTACATGAAGTGCAGGTATCCTGTCGTCATGCCCCACAAAGTCTTCTTCTCCTCCAGGGGTCTAAGGTTCCTCAGGCAACCAGCAGGATCTTCCACAGTTACCACTTTAAACAGGGCCCTGCTGTGGCAACGCTGACTGCACTCCCTTACCTAGTCCTTCTCACCACATGGAGACTTCCAATCCGGGCCTTCTGGGGCGGGGGCAGGAGACCACGAGCCCACAGTGACACCACCACATCCTGCTCCAACCTCAGGAAGCCCCACACCCACCAGTTGGGCTGCTGGGTAGGTGGCTGGAGTACCACCTGCCCTCAGAAGCTCAAAGCCAGCCTGACCTGGAACCTGTAAGATGTCTCATCAGGTCGGAGCACCAGGTTGCGGGGGTCGCGCAGCGGGTATATGTAGCCATGCTGTACCAGGAGGGTGCCCAGGTGCAGGGCCTCTGGAAGGGGTGGGGTGCCATGTGTCATGGAGGCTGAGCCCAGGTTCTCCTCCCCATAAGCTCTGCCACCCCAGCACATTCTGCAGGGCTGACATGTTGAGCCTCAGACCCCAGGGCCAGAGGGGAAGGCAGGTTGCCACAGGCTGACTACCCCTCACCCTGCTCAGAGATGCAGAACTTGTGGATCAGCCACTCCACGACGTCGCCGCCTGCGCAGGAGACATCGTGGTGGAGGGAGGCCGGGCACGCACCCCTTCCCTGGGGCACCGTGGCACCTCACCCATCACTGCGTGGGGGACGACGGTGATAAGCAGACGCTGGCTCCGCATCTTCACACCCTGGTCGGGGTCCTGCATGCTTACGACCACACGCTCCATCTGGGAGAAGGGGGCCATCAGGGGCCACTCCAGACGCCTCCCCCACCCCGCCCAGGGTCCCCCTTCCCGAGCCGGCCTGGATGCCCCGGATCAGCCAGCTCCGGGAAGATTAGAGCGGCAACAGTCGGATTCCAGCACGCAGCTGGAGGCACAAGCGCTGGGCGAACGCGGGCCGGGGTAGACCCCGGCGGCCCCACAGAGCGCGATCTCCAGCAGCGTCCGCACCCGCCCGCTCCTCTTCCACCCTCCCGCCTCAGCAGCGGGAGCCCTGCCCGCCTCCCACCTTGCTTAGATGGGACATTTGCGTTCGGGGGCGCCCGCCTAGGGGCGCGGGGCTGGCGGCCATGGCTGCGGGGAGAGGCCCTGCAGGGCTGTCCGAGACTGCCCCTCCCCCACGCCCCACTGTGCCCCGCCCCGGCCCCGCAGCTCCTCGCTCCCACCCGCTCTGCCCTGCGCCAGCTTAACCCGGTTAACCCTCCCTGCTGCGGGCGGCGGGAGTTCGGAGTCGGCCAGGCTCCCAGTTCCGGTGTGAGAGCCCCACTACAGCCCAAAGTTAAGGGGCTGGAGCTCGTCGAACGATTAGAGAATCGCCCCCTACATCACCCTCTACGCCCCCTTGCTGGTCCGACCAGCAAGGGGGCGTAGAGGGTGATGTGGACCCCAGAGATGTCTACCCTGGGCGGAGCACGGACCCAGATCAAATGTGAGAATGTGGGGGGATTGTGGCTCAGATGAGACAAGGCAAAGGGGGGCCAAAGAGGGAAGAGTAGAGGGGCTCAGGAGGATGAGTCTCAGGCAGCAATAGGACCCCCGAGGGGCTATTCCTGAGGGGTCAGGACTTAGGGAGAGGATCAGGCTTCAGGAAGGGGAAGGGCCCACAGTGAATGGAGGGTCTCCAGGAGAAAGGACTTGTGCAGAGTATGAGGAGCAGGGGTTTAGAATCCACTTTAACCTTGTCGATTGTGAGAGGCTGTCAGGATGTGCAAGGATCAAGGCTGATGGGCTGTGGAGTCCAGTGAGGGTTTGACTGTCCTGAGAGCATGTCCCAGCTATAGTGTGGCTCCAGGTATCAACAAGAGTGCCCAGTTTGGTATGGTAGCCTGGCTGGAGGCTGTGTCTGCTGATAACACTGGGAGTGTATAATCTGGGCCACCTTTATTCTGTGAGTCTTCCAGGTGGGAAGTGGGAGAGTAGCACAAGGATGGGTCAGGACTGTTCAGTGGGACCCTCAGTCTCACTAGCAGAGGGTTGTGGTTCTCAGGGCCCGAGTTTCAGCCTCCAACAGCTTGGCCACACCTATCCCAGACCCCCTAGGGCTAGGCATAGGCCCTTTTAGGCTCAAATGGAGCCTATTTTTGAGACAGAGTCTCAAGCTGTCACCCTGGATAGAGTACCGCAGTGTCATAGCTCACATTAACCTCCATCTCTTGGGCTCAAGCGATCTTCTTGCCTCAGTTTTCCTTTCTTTCTTTCTTTCTTTCTTTTTTTTTGGGGGGGGACAGAGTCTCACTATGTCACCATCGGTAGAGTGCTCTGGAGTCATAGCTCACAGCAACCTCCAATTCTTGGGCTTAAGCAAGTCTCTTGTGTCAGCCTCACAAGTACCTGGAACTACAGGTGTCCGCCACAATGCCCAGCTTATTTTGTTGCAGTTGTATAGCTGGCCCGGGTCAGGTTCAAACCTGTCACCCTTGGTGTATGTGGCTGGCACCATAATCACTGTGCTACGGGAGCCGCGCCCTCAGTTTTTCTATTTTTAGTAGATGGGGTTTTGCTTTTGTTCAGGGTAGTCTTGAACTCCTGAGCTCAAGCAATCCACCCTCCTCGGACTCCCAGAGTGCTAGAATTACATCTGTCTATATTCTTTTATTTATTTATTTTTATTTACTTATTTACTTATCTTTAGAGACAGAGTCTCACTTTGTCGCTCTTGGTAGAGTACTGTGGCATCACAGCTTACAGCAACCTCAAATTCCTGGTCTTAGGCGATTCTCTTGCCTCAGCCTCCTAAGTAGTTGGGACTATAGGTGCCCTCCAAAACGCCTGGTTATTTTTTGTTGCAGTTTGGCTGGGGCTGAGTTTGAATCGGCCACCCTTGGTATATGGGGCCTGTGCCCTACTCACTGAGCCACAGGCACTGTCCTATTTATTTATTTATTTTTGAGACTACGTCGCCCTCAGTAGAGTGCTATGGTGTCACAGCTGACAGCAACCTCAAACTCTTCAGCTTAAGCAACTCTCTTGCTTCAGCCTCCCAAGGAGCTGGGACTACAGGCGCTTGCCACAATGCCTGGATATTTTTTGTTGCAGTCATCATTGTTTAGCTGGCCTGGGCTGGGTTCAAACCTGCCAGGCTGGGTGTATGTGGCTGGCACTGTGCTACAGGCACCAAGCCTATTTATACTCTTTTATAGAGAGAACTCCCCTTCTAGGTGGGAGCGGGCCATTTCCATTGCTGGAGAGGCCAGGTCCAGGATGAGAGGGGGAAGGAACTTGAGGGGACCCCTCATGCCAAGGTCCCATTCCCGTGGCAGGTCACCCTCTCTGGATGGGTGGCATCCATCCCCAGCCCATAGGGGAGTGGCCTCCTTAACACTTCAGTCCCTCAGGAGAGGAGAGCAAAGGTGGGGAGCCTGTTTGAAAAGATTGTAGGCAAGTGAGAGGATCCAAGGGGGCAATCCCCACCCAAACCCCACCACGCCATAGCCCAGAAGGTGGTCTCTTGCTCAGAGATGCTCTGAGGGCACAGGTGCATCTGATCTCTGGGTGCCCCCAGAAATGGGGATGGGGGACAGGGAGTGTCTGAGAAAGAAGGCAGCTCTGGCTGGTGTTCTGCTCTCTCTGCCTTTACTAAGACCCAGTCCTTTGGTTCAGCTGTTCCTCAGACTTAGACCCTGCCACCCTCTCCCCTCACCTTCCCTGGCTGGCCAAATTCCACAGCCACTCACTCCTGGTGTCAGTTGAGGTGTGAAGATCAGAAGCTCCTACTGTGCTCTCTTTCAGCACAATTCCTCACTGCTGTTGTGCTGTTAAGCTGTGGTGTCAATGTCCTCTCCCCAAGGACAGGGACCTGAGTAATTTTCTGGGTGCCAGGGCCCTGCAGAGGAAATACACCACCCTCCACCGGCGACCACACTCTCACAGCTAGCTCCTCCTAATGGTCAGCATTCAGGTGCTCCTTGTGTGTCTGTGGGAGAGTTCGCCGTGCTTCCTCCCTGCTTATGACTGCGAACCTCTAGGGTGCAGGCCGCCAGTCCTCCGCCCCAAGGCTAGACTGGCCCCAAGAGTCCCCTCTGCCCAGACCGGTTGCTGCCGGAGTAGGATGAGGGGAGGGTGGAGAGCCACGGGCCCCAGGTGTGGCCTGCAGATAATGAGCGCCTGGAGATGTGGTGTGGTGGGGACGCACCTGCTCTGCTCGGCCCCCCTAGCCCCACTGAGCGCGCCTAGAGGGCTTCCTGGGAGACCCTCCCCCGCCCCGACTGCCGCCAGCACTGTGAGGGTGGGACAGCCCTGACGGCTAGAGCAGGGTGCAGGCGAGCGGGCGACAGGGATCGTGACCGCAGCCGCCGCGTGCGTCCGCGTCCGGACGCCTCTGTGCGGGGTCCGGGTGCGCCGTGCGGGCGACACGCGCATCTCTTCGGGGCTGCGCGGGGTCCGCGGAGCGGCTGGGGGCGCGCGGCGCGGGCGCGGCGCTGGGCGCGGGGGGCGC